CCTCCTCTTAATCCAGAGGTTACACTAATATGATTTATGTGCAGCTCTTGTGAAAAGAGCATTTGGTATGCTAGTGAGTTATTAGTTTGGCCATAATGATTTATTTTGGTATAAAGTAGAGCATTCTTCTTACTGAAAAATCTTGTTTTCTGGTACAATCAAGGTAAATGTACAATCGGAGGTAGAAAACGTTGCTATTATCCATAAGATACAAACAAGTAGGCATAAATAAACCAAAAGAATAAAATGACAGACACTTTTTATTGACATTTGTAACACTGCCAGTGGAATGTAATTTCTGAGTTTTTCAGACAATAAAATTGTCTTGAATATTGAGAATCGTATGACTGGACTCTGATTAGTGATAAATTTTCCATCATTAGCGGAAAGAGAAGGGCGCCACATACATCTGGATTTACTTCGCAACAGAAGGGCGGCATGTACGTCTGGACCAAGTATAGTGTATAGGTAAACTTGCCTTAAAAAAAGAAAAGGGCGCCGCATCATTTTTGCTATGCGAGTGCTCTATCTTGACATTAGTATCTTTGACACAATTCTCACTTCTGAGGTCTAAGCATTTGCAACATGAGAAAATTCTTCTGTCAATGTGTAACAGTTCTATATATACAGTATGTTTGTGATACTTGTGCCTGTTGTACATTTTGACACTGCACTTACTGTACATAGACATGTTGTATGTGTGACAGCCAATCAAAATATGGAGACTTCAGGGAATTTAGATTGTCAACATGCATAGAACTCTGCTGCCTGCTCACTTTGAACTGTACATGGAAATGTAAGACTGCTATAATTAATTTCATCTTTAACAGTAAACCAAGTAAACATACCATAGTCATGATGTTGAGATGCCTCTGCTGATAGGGATTTAGACACCAAGATAAACATCCATTCTGGAATAATTTTAATTAAATCAGGCTGTCTTTTTTTATTTTAATTACCTTGTTTATTAATATAGGTCATAAAAATAAAGTTTGTACTGTGGCTAGCCTAGAGCAGAAATCTACAGCTACTGTAGCTTGTACTGGATTATTTTTTAGTACGACAGGACTACTGTATAATCTTCCTTGAATAGCCTCTGATATTACTTTCTGCTTCCAAGGGAGTAAACAGTAAATAAATTGTAAATTCCAGTGGTGCTTTCTAATAGATAAAAATGAGTATATTGTACAGTGTTTTTAACTTTAGATCGTAAGTCATCTTGTATTTTTTCTCTGGTACCATGAACTATTTTAAATTTTGTCCATTTTATTTAAACTTTATTCTTTAATTCTTTTTCTTCCCAAGAGTATCATTAAGTAATAGGTATTATAAGTCAATCATGATGTCACTGCAACTCCCAATTTTATTAGCCTCTCCCCCACAGTCCAATCATTTTTCAATTAGTGGATGATTGGCTTGATTTTATTTAGGTTCGTGTGAAAAAAAAATTCCTCATTTTTGTCACCACAAAGACATCGCGCACCGCGATGAAAATTGGATTGTACTTGAAAATTTCTTTCGTATAGCAAGCTTAATTAGAACCCGAAGAAAGTTACTTCAAATTCAATGTTAAGTATGAACAATTAAGGAATTCATTGAATCAATGGACCCTCACAAACAAAACAAATTGAACGTATTATAGGCCTACGGCCAGGCTGAGGCCGCTGAGACGCTCTCCTCCTACTAGGCCGTAGCCTAGCCTAGTTATGAAATCATCGCACAATTTTTACCTGTCAGCATGCACCGACAAAAAAGGTCAACGACTGTATTTTCTCTCGATTGCTGAAATGTTTATTTCTTTGACGAAAGTCTATCAAAATAGCATTACAAACAAGTTCTTTTTAACACAGTACAAATTACAATAGTTATTCATCGTAATCGTACTGCTATATGGCTGATGTGTAGTTAACACATACTGCAGGAGCACAAATCAGCATACGCACAAATAAATGTAAATACGCACACAGTATACTGATCATATCACTATAGCAACCGAGGACTGCTACAACAGTTGGTTGTCAAAAACTAAAATTAAAAGATGGCAATTGGTTTATAAAGCAATTAGTAGAGCATGCATCGTGTACTAACGGAAAATTATTATACTTAAGTTAGATTTAAAGCTTTCAAAAATTTCCTTCGGCCCTTACAGGCCTCAGGAAATTTTTTCAAGCATTAAATCTAACCTTCGTATAATAATTTAATTCCTATAGTGTACTATGCGGAGCTCTGTTAATTGCTTATTAAATTGTACTCATGTACAGTATGAGAGTGCGTTCATTAATTTCAAGTTCGTATTCCTTCTTTCTTGATTGTTCGTTTAAAATATACATTATTAAATCAGTAAAACATTTTGTTTTGCCCTAAAACATCATAAAAGTAAGCATTCATTCTCAGTTGATTTCTATCAATAAAAGTCTTATGACAATTTTTAAAGGTTTTTTTGCAATTTGATAACAAAAATTAGAAGAAATTATCAGTGATTTAGAGGCAATTTTTTTTCCAAAATATTATATTTTCAGTCATCTGAAATTCAAAATTATCATTTCTGTACTCGGTTCTGCATATTTTATCCATTATCTAAGATTTTGGCCGGGAGAATGTCTCCGCTGAAGACCCTGGTTTAAATTCGGCAAGCGTCAGGTCAGTATATATCTGATATCTTGGCACCACAAACCCTTGCATTATATGGGGAGGTACAGTATAATGTGACCGCAACATGTTGGTACTGCCATCATACTGGCTGCTGCCAGTCCCCACTGACCCGGCCAAAATTACTTTCAAGTTTTTGAATAACAAAAATTTTAAATTAATACCACATATTTTAACTTGCAAAATTTGGTATTGTTTTTCCCGCCAAAATTTGGCATACCGGATATTTTTATAATATCTACTGCCTTTTTGTATCCACGAAAATATGGCGTTGGATTTACGTAGTCTGCTCATATTTTAAAACAGCCCCGAGGCGCTTAACAACGAGAAAAGAGAAGCAATGGAAAGTAATCCATGAACCTAACTTAAGCTCCTAGATCACTAGCATCGACAACCAAGTTGTACATCACAGCTCTATTTCTGGAAATTTATGGTGCATATCAAAATGCAACGTACCGCATATTTCTTCTCGGATAGTTGTGTGTTTGTGTCATTCACATGTTGGGCTGTTCATGCTAATGAATCGTTAATTATCTGCATCCATAAAATATGCATCACTTTGAAGTCTAGTTCTATTCTAGATCAACATATAGCTTTGGGCTATAAAACAATTTAAATTGACGAGTTCATCAAATTACTGGCTTTTTGAAGAATAACATACAAACCGAAATATGCTGATCAAATAAAACATAGGATTTAAAATTAGAGTGTTTATCTGGTCACAGACCAATCGCTGTACATAAATGTTGTATAGTCTTGCTACTTCTGTATGAGAAGGTACAGTAAGAAGAATTTCCGTAGCCATGGCCTACGTGACTTGGCCTACATTGTGGCGCATATTCAAAGGTTGCGACATTATACAGTAGCAGAGTTAGGAGTTGTTGTTGATCTATAATATACAGTACATCAAACAGGTCTCCCTCTAATTAAAGACCACTTTTTAGGTTTTCACGGTCTTTAGCTTTGCTCTTTATAGTATTATTAGAAAATATTTTAACAATATAGGCATTCACTTTGGCTGCCGAAATATCCTTGGTCTTTGACCAGTGGTGATCTTTTATTGGAGGGCCATATTTAATTAGAGGGAAGTGTATAAACAAATTAATAATTTTAGTGCTCCTAAATAGTGATGTCATCATATAAAACATACAGTAGCCCTTCAACGCAAATGTTCCTTTTTAAAAATAAAAAAGTGTCTGTTGCAGGATTTGAACCTGTAGCTAAAATGGCTAGACCACAAAAACCTTCTCTCATGATTTTTGTGCACACACATAGTTGAGCCATGTTTAAGCTAGAAACTAGCTTATATAGCTTGTTGTGGTACAGTCAGTATAGGAATTACACTAAACCGTGCCAGTTTCCATTGCTAAAATGTTGACAATTGGTTGTCTAGGAACTGTACTATTAAAAATAATTTTTTAAAGACATTTATTTTTATCTAGGTACTGTTAAAAATATGAATGACTTCAGAGATAAATGAATACAATAATGGTAGTTTATCACAATTTATTTATTATTCTGCCAGATTTGTTAAAAGAGGAATTGAGTGCAGTCATGAGTACAGTCATGTTCAGCTAATTTCATTAACCTTGTTCGAGATGAATTCACACTTTTCCAGTAAATTTTCATTAGGCCGACCAGCCCTCCATAAACTAACGTTAGAATACTGCACATTCGGCGGTAAAGAACAATTAAAACCTCATAAAAAAGGCAACTAATCTGTTTACCTATAATTGAAAAGGAGACCGGTGTTAAACACTCAGTACTTATCCTTGATAATGTGTTAATCCAATTAATATAGTGAGATAATGTAACGTTAGTTTATCGAGGGCGGGTTGAGCTAATGCTATCACCTGTAGCTAATATTGATGTCTTAACAATCGCATACTATTGTCTCGGCAGACATTGTCAATGTAGTTGAAAGGGTGATGCCTCTCCTTTTACTAGTATACTGTATTCAAGTGTGCTATATGCTGTTTTTTTTGTGTGTGTCTGTCACTTCTACTATACATTTTATTCACTTTGTAGGTACAGTATCATACTATTCAATGCTACCTGCAAACTTGATGAATGATCCTAGTACAGTAGTTTGACCTTTAGGGACTGACCCTGGAGTTAAAACCAATATTCACAAGCACACTAGTATACAACTCTATTAAAATAATAAGATGTTAGTTAGTTGTAACAAACAGTTTGAAATTAAGTGTAAAAATACACTATCATTTATCAAGTAATATCCACTTTTTTTGTATCAGTTGTATACTTTACATTTCAGATTAATATTTCTGGTGCTGTTACAAAATTATGTCTGTTAACCAATTTTTTTTCATTTGATTACTTTTTGTATTTAGGTGTGGTATGTGAGTATCGCAACGGTTTACCTGTTCTATTAGTTCCATTACCATCACGACAAGAGCTATGTCAGTTCACATTGAAGCCCATTACAGAGAATGTTGGAGACTTTATGAACCACATAAAATGTGAAGATGGCGGTGTTGAGACAGTTGCTGTGTACAATAACGGTGAGTTCATGTGCATTAGAATTGAAATAAAGTGAGATGTTTGGAAAATTATCTTTTCAAGATGTATTCCAAGTGAATTTATAGATTATAAATATGCATGGCTGCCACATGAACTGCACAAATACTGCTTTATTTTCTAATTATCTAACCAGCCATCAATTTTGTGACAAAATTTGCTTAGCCTGTCTTAGTCTCCTGACAGGGGACTAAGGCAATATAAGATAGGAAAATATCCCATAACCAGTGATGTGAAAACTATGAGCTGTCACTAGCTAAAGCTAGGAGCCCTACGCCTTAAAGAACCCGGGATATTTACTTACTTATAACATAAGCAGTGACAGGTTTGAGGGAATGAAACAAAGCAATAAGCTTACACCCCTAGTCTTTCAAAAGATGCAATGGGTTCTTTAAGTGCACCAAACCAGAGATGGGGTTTTTAGTCCTCATCCAAGGAGACTTGGTTCTGGTTAATTAAGGAAGGTCGCAAACCATGGAGGATTATTCCTCCATGCTCAAACCATGGAGGAATTAGGCTCAACAGTGCTGATTCTAAGGCTATGTTCACACTCACGGCGTAAGGCTGGCTTAAGGCTGGCTTAAGCCTGGCGTAGCGTACGCCTTTGTGTGTGAACTAGGCAGTGGCGTTGTTGAAGCCACTCACTACACCACGTCCTTGGCGTTATTAACGCTACCTGCAGACCCCAGATTAGCTAACGCCACTGAGCTAACGCCAGTGATGCTTGAATGATTTGACCTCATTTCAAGAGATTGACCAATCACGATTGCAATATATTAGCTACTTTGGTCTCTTTTCTGTGCTCTCTATAAATGAAATGGTAAAGGGGTTCCTTTTCTATTGCATTATACTTAGTTATAATGTATATGATTTATTCTTACGCCGTGTGTGTGAACATAGCCTAAGGCTGTATTAGTTAGCGTTGACCCTGCCTTACCACTCAGCCACTTGAGATATCCATTAAAGGTGTTATTCTAAGATGACCAACTGTGACATGATATGACATGAATTTAGATGAAATTTACAATGTATGCCAAAGTCAGCTAAAATACCATGTGAAACATCATTCAATCTGATTACAGCCCAAACAAACAAAAAAAAAAAATACAAAAAAAAAACAGGTTGACAATCTAAGACATTCTAGTCAAGTAAATTTGCCTTGATAATAGGTAGGATTACATTAATATGTTGTTGTATGAAACGAGTATCCATAATAGCCTATTCAACGTACCAGTGGCGTAGCTACGGGCAGTGAAGCCAGTGCAAAACACTGTGGCCCAGGGTCCCATTCATAAATAGACAAAAAATAATAATTTAAAATAATTTCCAACTTTAATTTTGAAGAAGAAACGGTCAGGGGGCCCCTCAATAATATTTGGTTTTTAGAGGATTATAATTGTTGATTACTGTGTTGATTTCAATTAACTGATGTATTCAAGAGAACCCCAGCCAGCCCGACCCCCTACTGTATTTTTTGAAAATCTTAAGAAAATTGTGGAAAATGTGAAATTATATTCATTATAATAAGTCTGAGAGTGCCATTTCCAGCCATCTAGAAGTGCTACAGTATTTCATAATTTTTTTTTAACCTTAGCCCCAACCATGGTGGGGCTAGGTGGTCTTCATACTTCACCTGTGAAAATTATCCTGGCCCCTCTATTTGGAAATCCCTGACCCGCCACTGCAATTGTTTACTTGTATGCAATCAATTTTCCTGATCAGTCTAAAATAACAGCTGCTGAGACATGCCTCTTTTAAAATAGTTACGAATCTGATAATCATTAGTATTTATTACTAAACCTACAATAGGCTGCTTTTAGGAGTAGGGGGTAAAAGAAGTAATTCTTACGATGAATTTTCTGAGAACTGTAGGGAATTCCTCTATCACAACAAAGGGCTCGCAGTTAATGTTTCATTGGGGCCCTTTCGCACCTAGCTACGCCGCTGCAATGTACAGTATTTGCCACTTCAGCAAAACTCCTATCCCTGGATGTGCTCCATTGACTGCTGATCACTGAAATGTGTTTAGCTCAACTGTACTGTATGGCAGGCATCAGCATTTTATGTTTTCCTTTATTGCTCCTTGAAGTACTTTGCCGGAAAAATATTCTTCCTCCCTCTCATTTTTTAGGCCAAAGGTCAGATAGACATTGTTTTTAAACACTGAAGTGAATCAGAATTGTGAGATTGCATGTGTACTGTAGTTACATGTACTGTAGGGTGAATTGTCAACATTCTACTGATAATATGTGCCAACGCTTTTTTGTATTTTTATCAACTAGTTTTATATTTTGTTACGGCAAATGCCTGGCTAAACATTTGATACAGTAGCAACAGAAAGAGATCATGGCAACAGATGTACAATTAAATACAAATTTATTTACATTAGTCAAAGTTAAAACATAACAGTAAAACAAAGATAATCAGAGGCAGTGGTCAAGACAGCATAATAAAAGTGAGAATTACCACACATATCTATAATTCAAGCAAAGAAGATGGAGAAAGCTATCAGTATCAGTATATTCCATCTGAAGGGATGGCATCCCTTCAGATGGAATAAGACTCCCCAAATATCATTTTGTACCCCAATTTATACCCTTAGATATGCAAATTAGGGCTTTCTTTTATTGGTCAATTTCTTTGACAACCTATTGTAGATTTACTACACCACACATAACTCCTGACATGTTTCTATAGCCTAGTCAGTACTGGATATCAGTAGTTAACAAACTTTATAATATGAAAGATCAATAATATAATAAAAGTAACATAAAATTATATATAAAATACTAACAATTAAGAAGGGCCATCACAATTTTATTTCACTTCCTTTGTCCTATTATGTAGTTCAGTGACAAAAGTCTACCCACGCCAGAGAGAATTAGCACAAAACACAATCAGAATATTAATTAGTCATTACTATGATAATAGTACTAGACAACCTGATGATGTATAAATAATTCAGTGAGAGCATAGAGCAAAGAAACAGACCTCTATGGTGAGAGTAAATGGCATTAATATTGTATGAATAGCTCTGGACATAAATCATGGTATATTGTTTTTACACAGAGTACTGAGTAGGGCCAGGCCTGTTCGCTGGACTCGTTGTTATTATAGCCAATCATTGGTTAGGACTAAGTCTCACTTTATCTGTGTATAAACAGTGCTATATGCTAGGTTGCATTATAATCAATATGTAAACATTCTCTGTACTTAATTGATTTGTGATTGACAGCAGTATTTTCAATTGATTGGTATTGGTGTACTGTTAGGCCTATGGCTTGAGTACCATTGAGTGTGGTTATAAAGTGGGTGTTTTACACATTAAGACATGTGTGATGCAATAAGAGTTATTGCTTCATTTGTAGTATGAATGTTGAGTCTAAGCATGACTATAGAACATTTTGAGGTTGTAGCACTAGTCTACTGTAGTATGATGGAAACATTGGAATATGAAGCATAATTAAGGTTGTAGCATGTTATATCGACCATTGAGGTTGTGTATAAAATATAAAGTCTTTGAAGTTGAGGCAGGTTATAACTTAAGATATGAAGCATTGTTGTACAGTAGTATAAAATAAAGCATTGGGGTTGTGTACTACAGTATACCATGAAGTATGAAGCATTGTAGTTCTTTATAAAGTTAGGATGGGGTTGTAGCATGAAATATTCAAAGCATTGGTGTTTATCATGGAATATGAAGCATTCAGGTTGTAGTGTAGCCTGAATGCAATGTGATACATTACGGCGAAAAAATTAAGCATGAACATTGTATAATTATAATTTTAACATGCGCCATGTATTGAAAGGTCTTAACTTTATCAGTAAACCTTTAATACATTTCCTACACAGTCTAAGCTCACAATTTCCCTACATACTTGCGGACTTCAGCTACATCTGTGATTAAAGATTACATGAGAAATCTAATACTAAAATAACACCACAAGCAGTGATGATAAATGATGATAATTGATGTAACATCACAAGTGGACAGAAATTGATTAAAATATCTGCAGGACTCAGCATGTCAGCAATCAAGGAGAGCTTTGCTTTCTGTCACGGGCTTCCTGTGTACCTTAAAATAATTATTTAATACTGCAGTGGGTACATTAATTCGTACTACCACCTCATCATTCATACAGTAGTAAGCTTGCCTCAGACTGGGATTTCGATCAAATGCTTTGCTCTTTCATATTTGCAGACATTCAAAATTTATTTTATGGTGAGCCAGATGTACAGTATCATCCATTTTTAGGTGAATATTTTTACACAATCAATCAATCAGTCAATCAATCAATCAATCAATCAATCAATCAATCAATCAATCAAACAATCAATCAAACTCTTTAATTCATTGATAAATTCCACATAAACATAACAAATAAAAGGATTAGATAATAATGAAATTATGAATTTTAAAATAAATGCAAATAATAAAGATGATGAAATGAACCTCCAAGAAACCCCATTGAACTTGTAAATAGGGGTGCATCAAACAGCCTGTAGTGCTTTTTGTTTTCATAAATCTAAATGTGGAAAAGAGTTAAACCGGTGACATGGGATTTACTGTAACACTAAAATGGGGCAAAGTGGAATTCCATTGCCAGGACACCCAAGTCACCTAGTTAATAAACAGAGGCAGAAAGGTTTGAATACTGAAAAATAATACAAATTGTAATGAGACTAAAAATCCTATTAACAATAAATGGCCTAATAATAATAACAATGAAAATATTAATGATATTTCTTATGATGCAGAAATTAACTATTGTACTAGGAAATGCATTTAAAAATAATAATAATAATAATAATAATAATAATATTATTATCAAAGCAGAAGCATGCATTGATAAGAACAAAACTCTCAACAACATTAAGTACTTTTTTTTAAACCCAAATCTTCCCCACAAGATTAATGAATGATGATTGTCATATTTATGATAATTATTATAGAGCGAATATTCAAATTTTTCCATCTTCAGGA